TTGTATAACAAGTACGAACAATTTCACTCTTCCACATTAACAAACAAAAACAAAAATCAAATGAAGTCATTCAACATCCGTCTTTTTTTAATTTATTTCCATAATAATAACCAACATTTTTTTAAAGAAAATAATCACAGGAAGAGTTTGTCACTAGTAAGAAAACCAATTAAATAATTTTAGTTACTTAAACATTTTTTTGTGAGTAATATCTAAATTTAAGCTCTTCACCCTTGTTCTAAATTGGTTGATGGTCCAAATTACTTATTGATATGTTTATTTATTCTTTCTATATACGAAAAATATAAAAAACTTTTCTTTTCTACGTTAATGAAGGATAATATCAAATGAAGTCCTTCAACATCAGTCATATTTTAATTTATTTCTATAAAAATAACTGACAAGACAAGACTTTTTTTCAACGACAAGATTTCAAAAATAGTTTGTTCACAGTAAGACCTTCAATCAATTAATTGCAACTACTAGAAAAAAATTTTAGTTTAGATAATAATTTAGTTCATATTGACAGGTCTACAATCTTAAAGCTCTTCAACCTCATTAACGATTGGGTGATTGTTCAAATTGCTTATTGGTTTGTCTATTTATTCATTCTACGTATTAAAAATATAAAGAACTTCTGACTTCCACATTAACTAAGAAAAAAATCACATGAAGTCCTTCAACGTCCGTCATTTTATTTTATTAATTACTATATAAACACAGCAATATTAATTACTATATAATATAAACACAGCAAGTAAAATTGTTAATAAAAAACTTTCATAGTAATAGTAACAAAACTCCAGAAAAATATGCGAAGAAAAAAGTCAAGTACGGCTTTGGATCAGTTGGTTAAGGTGCGCTGATTCCATTTATTTAAAATATCATAAACTTCTCTCTTCCACGTTAAAAATGGAAAATATCAAATGAAATTCTTTAACATTCATAGCTTTACTTTTAATTTATTTCTACAAAAATAGTTGACATTTTTTTAAAAAGGATAACCACAAAAAAAGTTAGTTCCTAGTCAAATCAACAATCACCTATCAAAAATTTTCAAATTCATTTTCCCAGAACCATAACCTGAAAACTCTTCGACCTCATTCCGGATTGGTGGATTGTCTAAATTACTTATTGGTGTGTTTGTTTACTTCTTCTACGTATTAAAATTATACTTCCAAAGTAATGAAGAAAAATATCAAATGAAGTACTTTAAGAACCTGACAGAACTTTCAAATGAAGTATTTACCATAAACTGTCAGTTTCGAAAATATAGTAAAATATTCCACATATTTTTGTATTTTTCAATCTTTGTCAATTATACAAAACCATATGTGTAAACATACTATATTCCGTATACACATACTTATATGTTATATTCATCAATAAAAAACCTTATACCATCAAAAACGGTTAAAAGAGCAGTGATAATAAAAAATATTAGTAACATTTGCTTGCATTTCACTATCTAGACTATAAAATCTAACAGGACAAAGTGAAAACGGATCACACGTATATGTACACATACTGGTATTTGGATGAAAAAAAAAAAATTAATAAATCCTTAACGAAATTTCAACGCAGTATTTTTGCAGTTCCTATGCCATATACGCACTTAAACCCCGAAAATCCGCTTTTGTTTGCTGATTAAAATCGGTAAAGATTCCAAAATATAGATAACACCTAAGTACATTCATATAAACTGCTAATAAAACTGTGACAAATATAGATGTAAACATGAAATGTCACCCTTCACCACCAGTTGAAGTACAGCTCAAGTATCCTGTTTTTTTCGTGGTGGAAGCGATGCAGTAAGGTAGGTAAGGTAGTAAGGCAACGAGGCAGTGAGACAGTGAGGCAGCAATTTGAAAAAGTGTCATTTGTCAAATGCTGCTGTTAGGCGCTTAAGCAACCTTTGCGGTAATTTACATTTTCAAAATGATAATAATTTTTTTTTATTATTTATCTACTGAAACAATCTATAAAATTAAAATATTACAAATTACACATATTTAAGTAGAACAAAAATGAGCAGAGAATGAGTTCGGTTTCAGATTTCTTGCATATGTTGCCAACAGACTTGCCTCCGCAGTACTGCCAACTTCAACTTCAACTTCAACGACGTTAGCACTAATGAGTTTGCACTAAAATCGCTTGCTATTGTTTTCAGTTTAAAATTATTAGTTAAGTAATTCTCACAATTTAATATCTTTAACTGCTTGATTAAGATGCCTTTGCGTGTTTGCTTAGATACTTTGCTTAGATACTTTGTTTAGATACAGCGCAACAGCGCTGGGCCTGTTTAAATTGCTGTATTAGTTTCACCGCTGCTGCCATGGCTCGCCATTTGTGGCAGTTGCTCCTATTACAAGATTTGATATTTTCTTAATTAATCTTTGCAACTTGCTACTTAGCAATTATTTTAGAAAATTCTACTCGATGCGCGATTTCACATATGTACGAGTATCTTTTATATCGCGGCTTTATTAATTTAAAATTTCATATTTTATATTTTATGTGCATAATTGCACAATGTGTGCGTTTCTGTTACATTTCTGCATTTTCCTTCGGAGATTAGGCATGGAAATTGTGTCAGATTATTTTATGTGATATGTGATACAGTTTATGGGATTATATTGCGATGTAAGCTGACACATGATTTTTATTTATGTCTTTATTATGCTTTAGATATGCAGGAATTTGTTTGTAATTAATTCGTACGATTTTGTATGTGATATTAAATATTTTTGGATTTCTTCATAAATACAAATTCGCGCTAATCAACTCAATAGTGCAGTCACTTAAGATTCAAGATCGCTTTTGAATGTTAACCATGCCATAAAACAATAGCCAATTAGTTTTGTGTATGCACTTTTCTTTTAGAGAATCTTGTTTTCAAAGAAAATGGAACACCTTGATTAGAAATGAGAATCAGTGTGACCACTTAAGATTTATTGCTACAGAAAGACTAAAGCTTTACTAAGCCTCTTAGAACTAAGTAAATTAAACCAAAACAAGATGTTAAAAAAAAAAGAGGAAAAGCTGAAAGGATGGAAATATTTTTGCTTAGAAATAAGCTATATAAAGTAAATCAAAAATACAAACTACGAAATATTCTCTTAAGTGCGAAAAGTCTTCCTAAAACAATAAGTACCACAAAATTGATTAAAAACTTAATATATTTTAAATAATTGCTTATATTATTAGATTTATTTGAAACTAATAAAAAACTGTTTGTTTTTTTTTAACATATATAATATATCTGAAAATTATTTTCTACATAAATGTCGCTGAGAGCTCTAAGTATATTTTTGAAAACGCAAATACTAAGCTTCTAACATTTTCACCCACTGATTAGGTTAAATTAGGTTATACCGACAAATTCAAGGCATCCATCTAGGTCTATAGGCGCAGTGTGCTGCCGTATTACTAAAAATCCAAGCGTTATAACCATTTAGGACCTTTAGCAAAGCTTATGATGATATTCAGAGGGAGGTCTTGCAATTCGCTAAGATCCTCAAAAAAAGAAATCCTCTAAAGTGTTAAGGCAGTGCCGCACATGTGCCGGACAGAAGCGGGAGACACTTTCATCGTCCTCACCACAACTGCGGTAGATATGGTTGAAAGGGGGATTAAGTCTCTTAGCATGGTTACCTAAAATACAATGACCTATAAGTAGTAGGTTTACTTACAAGACTGATATCTCTACGGGGCATTTCAATGAAAGAGTTTGATTTTCTTTTATTGGTGCGTGGCAAAATTGCAAACAGATACCTGAATATCGTTAAGTCTTTCCATCTTTTATTAAAAAGTTCAGCCAGTTTGCATGATGTCAACAATATGCCCAGATTATTTAGGTGTTGTGAGTGGTTTCCTGAAGCTGAAAATACCCCTATGACCGGGAACCCAGATTAGAGAAATAATAAGCTGCGTCGACATCTCATTTAGAAATGTGTAGCAGTCAAAGAATGTCCTAGATATAAATTGGTACCCCTTGACTTGAACAGTCTGATAGCTGAGCTCTTTTCAATTCGTTCTTAAGAGGTGGTTTTATTGAGTTAAAGTTTCCAACTGTGGCTGTTGATGCTTTTATCTCTCGCAAAAAAAAAAACTAAGTAAATTTGACTTCTTCCTTAAAGTGGAATACTATTACAACTGATAATGAAAATATATTGGAAGCTATTTATATTATATCGATAATTTTTTTGCAAATTAATTTTGTAAAGATTAAAAAATATAATATACCGTAAAATTATTTTTTAGTATATTGTAAAAATAGAATAAAATTGGAACTTTTGAAATTGAAATTTAATGAAATACAGCTGAAAAAAATAAATGATTTTTGAAAACAGTTTTTCTATTTTTATATATCGCAAATTAATTGTCAACTTACATCATGACATCGTCCACATAATCCATATCATATATGATAGAGCCACGATCTCTGCCTATAGTAAAAACCCTTTTAATTCAAACCATCTAGAATCATATGTACTGCCTAGTTTCATAGGAGACTCTAACTGTTCACTGGTAGGATCTTATTCCTTATTGAGAGGGCCTTTCCTATCAAGATTTTTTAACCGAGGATATATTAGTGTACTCAGCAGAGGCATCAGGTAAGTCTTAACGTTGTTGTTTTGGAGCTGTTCTCACATGGTCTTGCCGAAATCTTCTTGGAAAACAGTTTCTTTAGCTGAATACTTCTACCATAAACAGCAATACTATTCTAGGGCTCACAGCATTCCATTTTTAGATCTTTTTTAATAGTTTGACATGAAGAGATTTATGGAATCATGAATGTCAAGGGGAAGTAAAAATAGGCATACAAAGTTTTAAAACATGTAAACATATTTATAGGGTTTCATGCCTACTTTTACTTATATATATTTTTAAATTTAAATAATTTAAAAACATAATGATCACATTAGTTTTTGATTATTTTTGAACACTATGAAATTATAACTGACAATTGGTTTAAAATTTTTTCATATTCAAAAATTTAATTTATATTAAATAAAAATATTCTTCTAAGTTATTACGTACCGTAAAGCACCGTAAACAAAATGGATAGGCGCAAGAAACTACAGGAGATTATTGAAAAAGCTAAATCTGAGTTGCGATTAAATGCACATCCTTTCCACAATAAGGAAATAGTTCCTTCTTTAAGTTTTACTAAGAAAAATCTTAAAAAAAATGCCGAAGAAAGGCCAATTGATCAGGATGAGATTGTTAAACAAAATGGAATTGATAATATGATAACAAATAATCTAGATGCCATTGTGCATAGATCAGGTATATTTTCATTAAATAATTAGTGTAACACCTTACGAATTTTTTACAGATGTTCGACCAACGGGTGAAGTTCCTAATGATAATAACGTTCAGACTTCGAATATTGTAATAGAGAAAATGTGTAACTTGACTGAACAGTTCGCAGGTAATTTCGTTAGGAATAAGATAACATTAATATTTGCTTGATTATTAAAGTCAATTATGACGAAATAAATTGGGAGGTATTTTGAAGAGTAGTGAATTATAACAACATAATTTCATTATTTATTAATTGATTGAATTTTTGGCTAACCATATAGCTCTTCAAACAATATTTTAAAACAATAGAGACACCTGAATTCGTGTTAGTTAATGGCAAATTAGATAATGGTATTGGGAAATATTTGATCAATTGTACAAATGTTTTGGCCAAAATAATCTTATCTGAGATCAAAAAGATCTCAGTTATGATCTTAGGATTCTCAACTGCATATATTTAAAAAAAAGTTTTATCTCTCTTATATGTATATATATTTATTCAAATTCAAGCAAAATAATAAAAGCTGTTTCTTAAGAGCTAACTTAGTATGTTTTTAAGTTATCAGGGACAGAAACAATCCCTTCATTAGAGTATATGAGACTATTGTATTCATAAAACTCACTGTAAAAAGTATAATAAGATTTGCAAGTATTATGGACCCGTATTCTTTAAGAACAATGAAGCTGTGATAGATACCGTTAGTTCTGATTGCCACATTTGAGTATCAATTAGTTTTAACGTGTTTCTAAAGATATGGATACGGAAGAATTAAGATTTCAGCAGAATTGTGTCATTAGCCACAGAATACGTTCTGTTATAGGCTTTTTAAAACATGTGATTTCTTTTTCGGTTATGTGAAATGGACGTAAGATGAAGGTATTTGTCACAATGGAATTTTTTTTTAGAATTTCGCAAAGAATCATACTGATGTAGACCTCAAAAATATCCTTTTTGACAGTTATGTGCTGATTAGTCGTCGATAATTGTCTTTAGAGTATCAAGAACTGTAATTGTGAAAAATTGTTGGCATTTTTCCATTAAGTTTGTACAAATGTCAGTATGTAAGTCGCTTTTTAAGCGATTAATATTCTAATATGAAATACCTCAAGCTTAACACAAGATGCCTTAGTAACAGTTTTATTTGATAAATGTCACTAAAATAGTAATATCATAGTAAGTTAAGAAATTGTTATATTAAAGAGTTCATTTGAATTCAGATTCTTTGGTGCTTAAACAAATGTTCGTTCAATTTTTGTAGAGAATTATGAGCGGGAGCAGGAATTTAAAAATGAGTGCCATAAGGGAATAAGAGATATCAAGTGGGAAAACGTGATTGATGTTCCCAAAGAAGCAAGTAAGTGTACTGTTATTATTTATGCATATTAAATTTAATTATATTATTAAATAAATACATATATGGAATGTTGAGTTTCTTTTATAATGTTTATTACTTTAATTAAGATCTTAACGATGAATTGTTTGAGGGTACCAGTTTTGCGAACATTTTTAAAGAACCCAGTGATACGGATGACACTTTTGAGTACAAAGGTAAACTAGATCGTGCTGAATATTTAGCATGTGACAAAAAATTTTCCAGACTGCTACGACAAGAAGCGGAACGAAAAAATATACAAAATTCGCAACATTCCAGAATATGTCTAAATCGAAACTGTTCTTCAGATGAAAACATGCTACCATCACGTGCTGTGCTTAAAATGTTTGGTTCTTACTGCTCATCTAATGCTGACGCGTCTAGAAAAGGTTTTAAACCACCATGTGGATATGAAAAACGCAATACTTTTGCTGATACTGAATCTGATTCGGAGGATGATACTGTTATTGGTAGCCATACATACAGTAATATCGTATCAGATTCCGAAAGTAATATTGAAATCCAAAAATCTGAAATAACCACAGTTCGTTCTAAAACCAGTAGAGAAGTTTTTCTAAGTGCAGCTATGTTAAAGGAGGAAACACATCAGTCCAGAGCCATGACTAGAAAATATGAGCCATTTCGTGGTGTATATGTACCATATCCTTCGGCAGATTTTGAGAGAGGTGCTTTTCGAAGTCCTGAGAATCGTGAACCTATAGAAAAGGTACAAGCGACAAGCTTGTTAGAAATGATGGGTCCTATACCAAACGAGAGTAGTACTATGGAAGAAACTTCATCTACTGCGACAATAGATGTTTTATTTAAACAAGGTAATCTTATACTTATAACTTTATATAAGTAGTTTAAATTAAAATTTACTTAATATAGCTAGCGGCAGATCATCAAAATCTGCAGTTAACATTGACAGTCCATCTGCAGCAAACTCCAATCGTTCTAGTGTACATAATTTCGATAAAACTAGCACCAGTTACTCTCTACCCGTAGACAATGAAGCAATAGTGGCAGAAAGCAGTAGTATTCTTACTGATTCTGATACTGCTAATGAATCTCAAAATGTAAGTACTGATACTATGAAGAGTTCTGATTGGGAACAAAAATCAAAGAAACTGGAAAAGAGAAAGAGATACCCTAAGTAATTTTAATGAAAGTAAATTATGCAATTATTTAAATCTTCACTATTAAGAAATATATTTTATATATTTTAATATAATTTGTTATTTAAATTTTTATCTTTTATATTGAAAATTTAAATAAAAATTCAAATTTTTTCGATTAACAAAACTTCTGTATTTAAATCTATAACATTATTCCAAATAAGTGACTATAATGAAATGGGAATAAAACTTATAGTAAAAGAATTATTTTTAAAGAAATCTATTTATTGTGCCTTCTCTTTCAGACATTAACAACAAGCATTTATACAACCACTATTTATAGCAACTTAGAAAATATCAATCTTCTCGGATAGTAAAGCTGCCATTTAATCACTGGTAAACTCCACAGCTCTATCAATAATAACTCAAAACTACCATAGTTCCCTCAATCATCTAGCTAGTCACGTTAAGGTTCAACTCATTTCGGTTCTTGGTCATATGGACATATCGGGTAATTGCAGGACGGGTAAGGCGTTTCACTTGAAACAGCTAAACTGGCAATCAAACAAAAATATCTAAACATAGCCAAGCAATATTGGGTTGATGAATCCAGTTGTCACATTTCTAGGTCGGTTTCGTCTAATTTGGACAAAAAAACGTGTCAGTCCGCTACTTCAACTAAAACGAAATGTGCACAATAGTGAGGCATGCTATGAGACTAGGTCTTCCTTATAACGACATTTGTCTTGACTGTGCCTCTGAAGACGAGGAGGAAACTGTGTTTTATCCCATGTGTCAGTGCCCATCTTTAGCTAGGAGAAGATTAAAAATCTTGGGGGCCTCTTTTCTGAAGATCTGACTGAGCTGTCATCCTGCAATGTTAGCGAATTAAAAGATTCATAGAACTGTCAGGTTGGTTTGCATTCATCTAATGGGGGAATCATAGACTTTTTTCGCCGTTGGTCCTTTACTGACCGTCTAGTCTATGTATGAACCATCGCTATTCTGTGGTACCACAACGGGTAATTATTTGAGGTCAAATGGGCACAAGGCCATCACTCCAACCTAGAAACCTAGAAAATATCGATAAGGACATGACCTGTTAATATGTGGTTGGGAGATTACTTTTGTTATAGGTCGGAGTGATCATATTTTTTTAGGAGTAAGTGGTTAATCGTTAACACCAGCTATTTGACTAAATGGTTGTTATAATTATTTAGGTTTTTTATACGAATTCTGATATCTCCATTAGAAGTTGAAGATCTTTATTAATTTTTTCGTTTTTTGTGTACTATAGTGCTTCCGTGATTATTGATTTTTTTAGACTTAGCTCTTTACAAGAATTTAAATTTTTCTCCACTGCTATATAATTGAAAAAAATGTGAACAACTGGGTTTAAGGATCTGTAATACAAAGAAACTTTATACAATAAGTTTAAAGGTGATTGGGTATTGAGAAGAAAGCGCTGATTAACAGTTTGTAGTTTGATTTGAACTATTTTTGATTCTATACGTTTACAGCAAGTATAGCTGCTATGGCAGTGAATCTGTAGATAATGATATAGTAATTGATAGCGAAGTGCCTCTATTAAGGGACAACGTGAAATGACAGCACTTTTGTTAATAAATTTATAATTATTTGAATTAATTAATTAAATCATACCAAAAATGTCGAATGCAACATTACAAATTATTAAAATTTGGCATAAATTTTTAAAAATATTTGATTTTGATAAATAAAATACATAATTGATGTATAAAAATATATAAATAAGTTTATATATCAATTGTGTATTTAATTTGTTTTTTGTTATTTATATTTGAACAGTTCGTAATTGTTTATATATCATTGCACATTTTTTTCTATATGTGACAACATTATGCATTAAATTATTTAAATTGATTTTTAAACAATGAAAAGCTCTACAACTAGACATACAAAAGCTCTTTCACATGGCTTAAGTCACTTATGCTAATGTAAACGACAAAGTTACTTAAGTAACTTACTTGAGTAAGCAGTGGAAACAAAGTATTAGACCCCTAAATTTTTTAATTTCTATTTTTTAGAATTAAAATTTCATGATCACATTAAGTCTGGTAATTACAGATAATTTCCATTCATATAAATTTAAATATAAAATACAAAACCTGTGCAAATTTTGCAGGAAATACCATTAAATGTATATTCCCAGCGTTTATTAATTTCACCTGCAAGCCATTCGATATCGGTATATTCGATATAATATGATGTATAAAATGTATAAAATGAAATTCAACAATGTAATTATATATTACTAACCTTTGCCATTATAACAAATTAATAATTTCGCTTTAATTTAAGCATTTTAAATTCCTTATCGTAAATACAAAATCTAAGATATTAAAAACAATGCATTGGAATCATCGTAGAGTCAGTACTTTGCGGAGCTGGAAACATGTCTGTGCAATTTAATTTTCGCTAAATTTCTCATAAAAATATAAAATTACAGTTTGGCACAGTAATTTGTGATTACGATGAATAAAATGATGGAATGAAATCAACTAAAATGACAAAGTGCACGTTCGAAACTTAAAAACCACGTACGAAAAATAAATATGGCCGTTTGTGTCAATGTGAGCTCAGGTCTTTCGATACAACCGTCTGTACATCCATCCATCTACGGTACAATGTATCTGTAGCTTGTAGCTGAAGCTACCTACAAAGGAACCCTAACGAAATTTCATTTGAAAGGCATTTAATTTGCAGCATTACAACCGATAATCAATAATATGCGATATTCTCAGATATGCAATAAAATGTGAGGATCTCAACGATCAAATGCCAAACACAACAACAATAAATGTTGCAACGATCGAGAGATCGAGAGGGCGGATAGGCAATCGACTGCAACAAAGTAACTTATTTTAGGTATTTATTTTTTTAATTTTTTTTAAATATTTTTTTAAAATATATTTTTTGTCTTTGGATTTTGTTTTTTATTTTTTATAATTCATTTAAAATTCTTATATTTGCAACGTTGATGGCCGAAACGTGATTTGTGGTTCTGCTCCTTTTTTGTGAATTCAGTTTGAGAAAAAAATATTTTAAATTGCATTTTGTTAAAATTATAGCATAGGAAATGCAATTCTATATATAAATTATTAGAGCAGCTAGACATCACCACATTGAGAAGACAATAAAAGTAATTTTTTCTGCTTTAATTTTATGATTCGTATTTGCAATTTCCAAGACTTTGGCTTGGGATGTAATTGTTGTTGTTAGGATGTTGTATTGAATTTTACCCGTTTGTAATCGTGGCCTTAATCGTTGAACATATTACAAATTATAGTCCAAGAACTCAAGTTGCAAATGTCTGCAAAACGTAGTCAATAGCTTCGGGTTATAAGAAAATACAGCGATTGGAGTACTAAAAATTTGTGTATACTCTTCAAGCATAACAATCGCGCAATTTTTATTGGCGCATTTAAGTTAACATCCCAACTGAAGTGCAGTGAGTAGACATTGACTAGATAATTGCAAGCAAGGTTGGGACTGGCATAACTAATGTGTATCTTAAACGAGTGCAATAAGGAAAGCTCCACAACTACCAATACCAGAACGACCGATAAATTGCTGCCAATGCATCTGGTAGTATCTTGTGGCGCTCGCACTGTAATCACAACCTCAATTGCAGTGCATCGATAATTCATTTAAATGGTTTGGAGTCATTACAAATTTTTCCCCTTCTCTACTGTTGCTAAGAACGCTCTACACTCGAAGTATAATATACGAATGCAGAGATGTTTAAATATGAAAGGAACACTGCAATTATTTTGAAATGACCACTGCGCGCCATTTTGCTTCAAGCTAAATTAGTTACCCATTTTCCTTTTATGCTTTTAAACTCCGCCATTTAAGTGTTTGGTCAGATGACCATTGGTGCAGAAGAGTATTATTGAGAAAACATTGCTACATAAAGCAACAGGATCGGTTTTATATATATGTAAGGTATATAGTTTAAAATAAGTTTCTGGATCTATTTTGACCTTTTGAGTTTCTCCAAAGATTAATTGAAATGTACTATAGAAAACATACCAAATAAATTTATCCATTCATATCATTTATATTTTTCGCTTGATAACTACAATGAGATCTCAACCAGCTAACTTTCATATCTGATGGATGAGATGTTCTCAACTCAATCCTAAGAGGTGGTTTTAGTGAGTTCAAGTCTCACAATGGGGATTTTAATAATTTCCTTCTACTTTAACGAACAAGGAAAAACATAAAATCGACGTACAATATTGGTAAATACTGTAGTAGATGGAGATCAAGACATATTTTTAGCTAAATATTATTAACAATTATCGGCAAACTAATGTCAATGGCTTTAATGTTTTTTAAAATGAAAAAGTATTGAATTATTAGATACATAAATAAGATCAATTAGAACTTATTTATTGTAATAAATAATTGCAAAAGTTGACATATATAATTTCGTTCTGACTTAATTCCAAACAATTTTAAAATTATTATATACCATATATATTTTAGGGGTGACCTTTTACAATTCTTTCAAGAAAAAAAGTATATAAATCCGGAAATATAAGCAATAAAATAACCAATTTCCGTACATTTAAAAATGAATACAATGAATAAAAGCACGGATAAATTGCCTAAAAATCGAAAAAAAATCATATTACATTTTTAATGTGTTTTTAACCCGATTTTATGGAACAAAAAACTTTTATATAGTAAACTTTTGTATACATTCTATAAAGACAGACATTTACATTTTAATATGCTCCTACATTAGAGCCATGCACTGAAACTATAAAAAAATATGGCACTAAGTTCAATAAAAGTTGGAAAAGTTTTTCTAAAATATCAATTTCCTCCCGACTGCGAAGCAAATAAAAGAGCATAAATTGTTTGCTGAAAAGAAGTAAATTGTTTGTGAAAGACGGTAAGTGGCACACGGGCAGACAAACATAGTGACAGACGGACAAACGAATGTACGTATAAGCAGTTAAATCAGTAATACAAAATGAAGGGAAATCTAAACGGAAACGAGTTGGCAGAATACGAGTACGGGT